GTGTCAGCAGCAGTGGTCAGCAGCAGTGTCAGCAGCAGTGTCAGCAGCAGTGGTCAGCAGCAGTGGTCAGCAGCAGTGTTAGCAGCAGTGTCAGCAGCAGTGTCAGCAGCAGTGGTCAGCAGCAGTGTCAGCAGCAGTGTCAGCAGCAGTGTCAGCAGCAGTGGTCAGCAGCAGTGGTCAGCAGCAGTGTCAGCAGCAGTGTTAGCAGCAGTGTCAGCAGCAGTGTCAGCAGCAGTGTTAGCAGCAGTGTCAGCAGCAGTGGTCAGCAGCAGTGGTCAGCAGCAGTGGTCAGCAGCAGTGGTCAGCAGCAGAGGTCAAGAGCAGAGGTAACCGCACTGGCGCGGTTGTTTGAAGTCATTGTTGTGATAACAAAGGAGGAAGAGAGGGATGGTAGGTCTCACAAGTTTGTGGTGACGTGCAGAGGTAATACCTTACCACGCCACATGCCCCTGACGCCAGAAAAATGTTCTCTACTTAGGTGAGGGATGAAAAAAAAGGAGAGAGGAGAGAGAGAGAGAGAGAGAGAGAGAGAGACAGAGAGAGAGAGAGAGAGAGAGAGAGGAGAGAGAGGAGAGCGAGAGGAAAGGAGGTGGGAAGGACGGGAAAAGGAAAGATGAGAGGAGGTGAGAGAGAAGGAGTGGATAGACTGATGGCTTGGAAGCGGACGGAAACAAGGATATCACAGGAGTCTTGAGCCAGCACCAGGAGACCAGTGATCCAGACATACTGTGTCTACCACAATACTACCACTACTTTACCACAACCACCACCACCACCACAACCACCACTACCCACACTACTACCACACCACACCACACACACAACAACCACCCCACACCACCACCAAACCCCCACCACTACCACCACCACCATCACACCACCACCACACCCAACAACCACCACCACCACCACACCACACCCCACCACCACCACCACACACTACTATCCACCATCACCACTACCACAAACACCACCACTACCCACACCACCACCCACCACCACCCCACCACCACCACCACCACCACACCACCACCACCACCACCACAACTCTAAACTGTGTCTAAATGGCTCAGAGAACCGAATTTAATGACTGAGCACTAGACCTTGGTATCTATAATGTGGAAACGTTTCCCAGACGCGGCCCTAGTCCAGGGGGCAGAGATGACTGATGGAAGTGAGAACAGTCTGAGATAATCGACTCTAGGCTGAGGGACTGATTACCTCAACCTCCTCCGTATCTTCCACCATTCGTCTTCACAATAAAAATACCGAAGTGTTTCACAAGTGTCTCAGTCATCAATGTTACATCATCGTCTTGATACTGAACTAACATCAGGAATCCCTGACTTCAGTCTGCCCCATCATAGTACCCAGTTGTGGGTTTGTGAGGTTCAGTCTGCCCCATCATAGTACCCAGTTGTGGGTTTGTGAGGTTCAGTCTGCCCCACCATAGTACCCAGTTGTGGGTTTGTGAGGTTCAGTCTGCCCATCATAGTACCCAGTTGTGGGTTTGTGAGGTTCAGTCTGCCCCATCATAGTACCCAGTTGTGGGTTTGTGAGGTTCAGTCTGCCCCATCATAGTACCCAGTTGTGGGTTTGTGAGGTTCAGTCTGCCCCATCATAGTACCCAGTTGTGGGTTTATGAGGTTCAGTCTGCCCCATCATAGTACCCAGTTGTGGGTTTGTGAGGTTCAGTCTGCCCCATCATAGTACCCAGTTGTGGGTTTGTGAAGTTCAGTCTGCCCCATCATAGTACCCAGTTGTGGGTTTGTGAAGTTCATCTTTGGGAGGATCTTCAATACCTGCAGTGTCTTTGATCTTACAGTTCCAGCAAATTGTTTGTTCCAGTCTCCTGCTATTCTCTTTACCAAATTAAAAGGTTTGCACATGTTTGTGTTGCATCTCTTGACTCGAAACTGTAATGTACTTCCTCAAGATAATGATTCACTTTCAGATTCAAACAATAATATATATATATATATAATATATATATATATATATATATATATATATATATATATATATATATAATATATATATATATATATATATATATATATATATATATATACAACCCTTCAACGCTCATAAGGTGATTAGGCAACTTTTGACTGCTTTCATGCTTAATGTGCTTGAGTATTTTAGTATATTGGTGTCTGTGAGATACCATTTTGCCTTAATGTTTGTGTTCCGTAATGGAAGCTTTGAATTTAATTTGGGCTGTATAAGTGCTAATATGCCATTTTTACTGAGGAACTTGGTACATTAGTTTCCAGGTGACGATCCGTGAATTCCTCTTGTAATTCACTTCAGCTGTACAGCATTAACTATATTATCAGTTTGCGCCGCACTCTGCACTATTCCAACCGCGTGCACTGAGGTACAGAGGACTGAGGTTATATATCTTACTGTTTGCCATTATATTTGATGGTAGTGAGACAGTGAAACGTGGCGCGCTTTTTCCGTAGAGTTTAATAACATTTATTTAAAAACCATTTTAAGTATGGTTGCTTTGGGTTAGATTTCGTTATGTTAGTTAACAAATAGCTTAACCTGACCTAACGAAAGCATTGTTTATTCCAGTTTTCACAACACGAAATTGTCTCCATTGTAAAACTCACTCAATATTGTGCATTTTAAACTATAAGTAATCACCTAACTCACCGGAGCTCATAAATGCCGTGTTGGATAATTCCGTAAAGATTTAATTTGTCATTTTTAGGGTGCTCTAAAACCAAATCTTGCGATCTTAAGAATGAAATCTCCCAGCAGCAAGATGTTTGGACAGCAGTCGGGAAATTTTCCAGATAATAGTCAATTTTCAAAAGCTGTTCCTGGAATTGCTGGAAAGTTGCATCAGGAGGTTGTAAACTTGATGTTTAACTATCACTGTTGTCCCGATGGCTTTATTGAACACTGATGTTAATATACATATGATAATGGTATACAACAGTGACACGTTCATAAGAAAGACACATGTGTAGAAGTTAGGTATCTTTATTCCCAAGTGTTTCGCCCACACACTAGGCTTCTTCAGTCGAATACAGAGGAGACATCGGAAGGAGTAGAGCTGTAACGACGAGGTAGTCGGTACCTCATCCTGGAGAAAAATTCTGCTCCATAGACCGGAATATTGTTATAGTCTATTGACCACCTTATCTCTACGTCTTGAAGGTTGATGGACTGACTACATCGTTTTTACATCTCTACTGCTTCTGCTGCCTCCTCTGTATTCGACTGAAGAAACCTACTGTGTGGGCGTAACCTGCACGTTGTCAGGGATTGGTACAATAATAACTACACACTATATCTGCCAAAACTTTAACTAGACTGTCAGAAGGAAGTCCAGGAAAGCTGATACAACACTCTGCTCTATGTATGTTCATGGGAGAACTCCTCACCTAACCTGACGTGGCAATTATTGTTAAGTGAAGAAGAGAAGCCAAAGTTAGGACGAACGTGAGCAACTGCGGCTCTTAGTACTGCTGGAACATTATTCTGCTGGAACATTGATATTAACGTGATATTGTTGTGCTGGAACAGTAAGTGCTACTGGAACATTAAGGGTTAATGTAACAGTAAGTGCTACTGGAACAGTAAGTGTTGCTTGAACAGTAAGTGTTGCTGGAACAATACGTGCTACTGGAACAGTAGTGTTGCTGGACGAGTAAGTGTTGTTGTAACAGCAAGTGTTGCTGGAACAGTAAGTGCTGCTGGAACAATACGTGCTCCTGGAACAGTAAGTGTTGCTGGACGAGTAAGTGTTGTAACAGTAAGTGTTGCTGGAACAGTAAGTGTTGTTGTAACAGTAAGTGTTGCTGGAACATTAAGTGTTGGTTCAGAGCAATAAACCCCGCTATCACATAGTTGCTACCACGACTACTACTACTACTACTACTACTACTACTACTACTACTACTACTACTACTATTACTACTACTACTACTACTACTACTACTACTACTACTACTACTACTACTACTACCACCACCACCACCACATCAATAACAAAATGTCACATTAGTTGCACTTGTGACCTTTTACCTAACAAAGCAAGCTACCACTACTCACCTTACACTGACGCAACTTAATGTCCAGCTACCACTACTCACCTTACACTGACGCAACTTAATGTCCAGCTACCACTACTCACCTTACACTGACGCAACTTATGTCCAGCTACCACTACTCACCTTACACTGACGCAACTTAATGTCCAGCTACCACTACTCACCTTACACTGACGCAACTTAATGTCCAGCTACCACTACTCACCTTACACTGACGCAACTCAATGTCCAGCTACCACTACTCACCTTACACTGACGCAACTCAATGACCAGCTACCACTACTCACCTTACACTGACGCAGCTCAATGTCCAGCTACCACTACTCACCTTACACTGACGCAGCTCAATGACCAGCTACCACTACTCACCGTACACTGACGCAGCTCAATGACCAGCTACCACTACTCACCTTACACTGACTCAACTTAATGACCAGCTACCACTACTCACTGTACACTGATATAAATGAACAACCAGTTACCTATACTCATCTCAGGTATAATTTCTTAAAATACTCCATGTCATGCCCCTATGGTTAACCTTCCTTTAATATTACATTGCGGTCATTTCCTTTAATAGCTAAATTGGAAATGAACGTCCTTGTATTATTAAGATTAATTCTTATTAACAATTATAATTTATGTAACATGGCCATGATAAGTTTAATTGGAGGTATAGTAACCTGCCTGCCGCCCGGTGTGCCGGTGTGTAGTTAGCCGTGATGTTTGATGGTTATACCCCCCCTTTCCCCTCCCCCCTTTATGTTCAACTACTCTACTGAGTGTTGGTGAGTCACGTCACGTGACCACTTTACCTGTATGCTCAAGGTTGAGGGACGAGCAGTGAAGAAGTAGCAGCCAACGAGAACACTCCTGCTCGTCTCTGGTAACTGGCCAAGATTTATTAGCCGGCTGGACATATTTGTTTTATTCTGACTGCTTCCAATTGGGAAACAAGACTTTAATGTATAAAGTAATCTCCATTTATATATATGTTATATCTAGGATATCCTCCTAATCCTCTGTTTTGAAAGCCTTATGTATATGTTGGATACTACAGAAAAAACATGTATTCTTAACTTATATACGATAATTCGTATATTATAACTGGCTTTTGTTATATTATGAATATACTTAATTAAAATTAGGCATTCCGGAGGATCATTATTATTACCCTAACCTCTCTGACCAAAATTGTTATGCTCTAAAAAGAAGGAAATAGTTGTTACAATACTTGGAGTGTAACAAGTGGGGGCCTGTGTCTGGGATCATAACACTGAATTTCCTTTAAAATGAATGTAGAAATGGCAGAGAGGTTTGAAGATATAACAAAGGAGAAATTACAAAATTTGAAGCTTCAATCTTGTTGGCAATTAGCACGAAGCTTGGGCATAAAATACGACAGGCATTTCACTGCCCAGACAGTCAGATGTATGATACAGAATGTCCTTTTTCCAGATGAGCAGGATCCAGAGATCGAGAATGGAGAAGCAGATATTCCTTCCTTTTTGAATTCTTTTCTACAGACGCCCGAGGCCGAAACTACGACGCTAACAACCCCTACTGGAGACGACGGACATGAACTTCCTGATACTCGGAAACGCTACGCTGCTACAACGACTCCAATTCCATCTCCAAGGACTATATGGGGAACAGAACTCAATCACACTAAAGAAACGGATCCAGGTAAACCATTTACAGATAGTTTTGAAACAGAACAAGAAGTCCTTTTGGATGATGAACACGTTCCACCTCAAATCTCTTTAGCCCTTTTGACTATTATTCAATCTAAGGAGAATTTTGAACGTCTAGAACGTATTTTATTGCTTCAAACCTCCTTTGTAGAAGCCCAGAGAAAGTTAAAAAGGGAGAATTTTGAACGTGAATCTTTGCTTTATGAACGGGAAGTACTGAGGAAGAAAAGAGAATCCAGTAATATGAATACAATCCCTTCATTTGACCTTGGTAAAGCAGCCTCTTTGATGCCTAAATTTACGGAGGATAATTTAGATTCATTTTTTGAAGCATTCGAAAATCAGGCGAAGGTGATGCAATGGCCTCCTAAATATTGGGTGCTTTAATACATTCATCTTTAATAGGAAAAGCCCAAACCATAACTGCCAACTTACCTTTTGAACAATATTCTGATTATACTCAGGTAAAGATTGTCTTCTGAAAGCTTATGATTTATTACCTGTCAGTTATTTGAAGATGTTTAGAACTCTGAAGAAATATCCTCAGCAGTCTTGGGTGGACTTTGCCAGGGAAAAGCTCTCTGCTTTCGAGCGTTGGCGTAGGGCCGCGGGAGCCGCCTCAGTCGAGTCACTTTCCCAGCTGATGTTGCATGAAGATCTTTTTAAATATTTTCCAGAGAGGGTGCATACTTATCTTTTGACATTTCCCACTACTAACTTGTTAGATACTGCTGCCACGCAGATCACTTTGAAATTTCCATGCTATAACCACAGAAATGTCTAAGGCCCCGGAAAAGAAATCTACCTCCCAAGGTTTTAGTTCAAGATTGACGGCTAGGAAAGCTCCAGCTGGCGAACCTTTGAAGGTGTATTCAGACAAAAAACAGGTGACAAACGGCTCTTTCTCCAGACAGTATCCTAAAGATCAATTACCACTGTGCCTTTTTTGTAAAAAGTTAGGTCATAGACAGTCCCAGTGTTGGCATAAACAGCGGGAAGATAAAACCCAACCAAGAGGGAGATATCCTACCCAGGTAATAAATTCCTCTCGGAAGTATGAAACTCGGGATGACGAATCTCTACCTTTTCAGGCCTCCTCTAGCAGACCGTCTAATAGATGACTTTACCACGACAGTGCTTCAGAAGAAAAGGTCCGAGTAGCTATGGAACCCTACTTTTCCCAGGGAAAGTTCGGACTCTGTAAAGAGAGGTTAGTAAATATCACTACCTTTCGAGATACTGGCAGCTATCTCTCTTTATTAAGATCAAACCTGGTAAAGTTACCTACTAGTAGAGAACCCCGGCTAGACGTATTATTAGAGGCTTACGGAGGCACAATAATAAAGGTCCCTATTATAAGGATTTATGTAGAACTGCCTGGATATGTAGGCTGGATCAATGTGGGACTTTCAGATAAACCTTTTCCCATTGCCGGCGTGGATCTATTAATCGGGAACGAAATTGATCAATTGGAGATACCCAGAGAGCCTCTGGTTTTAGATAATCCTTGTGATGTAAATTATGCCTTAGAAGCCTCTGAGGCCGAGCTAGACTTATTTCCCCTTAATGTGGTCACCAGAGCCATGGCTAAGAACTCTAACAATTTGGATATTAAACAGCCTTTAGAAATGTCCGATGAATTAGGTTTGAACTTCCTGTTTAGCGAAGCAATTCAGTCGAGACCCACAGGTGACAAAGTTTTACCAGTCCCTGCGGACCTAGCTAGAAAATGTAATAAAGAAGAATTTCTTATAGCTCTAAAGGACGATAAAAGTTTAACCAATAAGGATAAAGAGGAAGGTTACCTTTTAGATGAAGACGGTTTTCTTTGGAAGAGAAATAATGATAAGGATTTGAGTTCAAAAGGAAACTTGTTAGTGGTGCCATCGTCCTTACGTAATATGGTATTTGAACTAGCACATGATAATCCACTGGGAGGTCATTTAGGATCTCGTAAGACAGAGAAAAAGATAAGGAAATATTTTTTTTGGCCTCAGATGAGGACTTATATTGCTGACAAACTACGGAAATGCCACGTTTGTCAAATAATAGGCAAAACGGCGCACAATCCCGCGTCTGCCCCTTTACTTCCAATAAAAGTCCTGAAGAACCTTTTGAAAGATTAGTTATTGATTGTGTAGGACCGTTGCCCCGCACAAAAAGGGGTAACCAGTATATCTTCACTATCATAGATATGGCAACTCGGTATCCTGGTGCTATCCCAATGTCCAAAATTAATTCCAGAAATATAGTAAGAGCTTTAATACGCTTCTTTGCTCAAGTAGGCATACCACGTGAAATTCAATCTGACCAAGGTTCTAATTTTACGTCTAAGGTTTTTAAAGAGGCTATGTCTCGATTAGGAGTAAGACAGATCCTCTCTACAGCATATCATCCCCAGTCACAAGGAGTGCTAGAAAGATTCCACCAAACCCTTAAATCTACTTTACGTGCTTACTGTGAGCAATATTCTCGTGAATGGGACGAAGGTTTACCCTTTCTTCTCTTCGCCCTCCGTGAAGCTGAACAAGAAAGTACTAAATACTCTCCATTTGACTTGATTTTGGACATCAGGTGCGAGGACCCCTAGCCATATTACGAGATTCTTGGATAGGGAAGAGAGGACCTCTTCATCCCAGTCCTCTACTTTGGAAAGAACCTCTCTCCAAATTAAAAGCTTAGCTGCCGTGAATCTGTCAGAAGCTCAAGCCAAAATGAAGAAATCTTATGACCAAAAGGCTAAATCTCGTTCATTCTCTCCGAATGAATTAGTGTTAGTTAAAAACTTAATTCCAGGACATTCTTTAAAACCTAGATATTTGGGGCCATATGAAATAGTAGACAAAGAAATGAGGTGAATTATCTGGTCCGTGAACCAGGACGTCGTAAGAAAATTAAGAGGTATCACATAGATAACTTAAAGAAGTACGAGTCTAGCCTTCTCCCTACTATTATTACCTCTATTCAACCTACATCCACTGAAATAAGGAATGACACTGTAAGGGAAGTAAGAATTTAGACTACATAATTCTGAAGTTTTAAAAGAACTAGACCATTTCCTGGAAGTTCTTCCTACCTCCCAAAAATCTCAAATCAAAGAGTTAATCACTAAATATAACTCCATCTTCAAAGATATCCCTACTCCTTGTACATTGGGTTTCCACGATATTGAATTGTTAGAAGATAGTCCAATAAAGCAATCCCCTTATCGGGTCTCTCCTGCTAAGCAAGAATTAATTCAACAAGAAATAAATACATTACTGGAATATAATTTGATAGAACCCAGTTGGACACCTTGGGCCTCTCCCTGTTTATTGGTCCCAAAACCCGATGGTACCGTATGCCTATGCACGGATTACCGTAAAGTAAATTCAATCACCAAACCAGATGGGTTTCCATTACCCAGGATTGATGATTTAATAGATGCTGTAGCCGGTGCCAACTTTGTGACCAGATTAGACTTGCTGAGAGGGTATTACCAGGTGCCGTTAACTCCTAGGGCCCAAGAGATTTCCGGGTTCGTAGTTAAGAACGGACTATTTACGTATAAGGTTATGCCTTTCGGCTTGTGTAACGCCGCCTCCTCTTTCCAGAGAATTATGAACATTTTAGTCCAACCCTTAGAAGGTGTAGAGGCATACTTAGACGACCTGGTGGTTTTTAGTGATGACTGGCAGTCTCATTTAGAAAGATTAGAGCAACTACTGAAAGCATTGCAGAAATACAATTTCACTGTAAATTTACAAAAATGTGACTTTGGTAAAGCCCAGATTAAATATCTCGGTTTTAAAATAGGGAAGGGACTAGTAGCCCCCGACCAATTAAAGGTCCAAGCTATTTTAAATTTCCCGTCTCCTCAAGACAGGAAAGCCCTCCAACGATTTTTGGGGATGGCTACTTATTACAGGCGTTTTTGCCCAAACTTTGCTCAAGTTGCCTCCCCCTGACTAGATTGACCAGTCCTAAATATAAATTTAATTGGGACGAGAATTGTGAACAAGCTTTTAAACGTTTAAAACGTTTCCTTTCCTCTGCCCCAGTATTGCGTGCACCCAATTTCCAAATTCCTTTCACCCTCCATGTTGATGCCAGTGATGCAGCTATAGGTGCTGTCTTATTGCAATCCTTCCAAAACGGTAATATTCTACATCCAATATGTTATTTTTCCTATAAATTAAAAGAATATCAAAGATCTTATTCAACTATAGAAAAAGAAGCCCTGGCTTTAGTGTTGTCCTTAGAACACTTTGACGTATACCTCGGTTATACTCCTCATGTGATAAATATTTACTCAGACCATAATCCTCTAACTTTCATAAATTCTATGAAATCAAAAATGTTAGAATATTACGCTGGGCTTTAAGGATCCAACCTTACCGGATCTCCATTTTTCACATAAAGGGTTCGAGCAACGTGTTAGCCGATGCTCTCTCTCGCTCCTAATATGGCTTAACTACGGAAATTCTTTGCAGTCAAGCAGTTTCTGGACCAGTTCTAGCAAGTGGATGACTAACCTTGGAATGATGTACCTCCATCCCTATACCAGCTGGTTGGTTTCTTCTACTCCATCAGCATCTTAAACGCCGAGATATTTGCTTGTGGGCCGGGGTGTCATGCCCCTATGGTTAACCTTCCTTTAATATTACATTGCGGTCATTTCCTTTAATAGCTAAATTGGAAATGAACGTCCTTGTATTATTAAGATTAATTCTTATTAACAATTATAATTTATGTAACATGGCCATGATAAGTTTAATTGGAGGTATAGTAACCTGCCTGCCGCCCGGTGTGGCGGTGTATAGTTAGCCGTGATGTTTGATGGTTATACCCCCCCTTTCCCCCCCCCTTTATGTTCAACTACTCTACTGAGTGTTGGTGAGTCACGTCACGTGACCCACTTTACCTGTATGCTCAAGGTTGAGGACGAGCAGTGAAGAAGTAGCAGCCAACGAGAACACTCCTGCTCGTCTCTGGTAACTGGCCAAGATTTATTAGCCGGCCTGGACATATTCTGTTTTATTCTGACTGCTTCCAATTGGGAAACAAGACTTTAATGTATAAAGTAATCTCCATTTATATATATGTTATATCTAGGATATCCTCCTAATCCTCTGTTTTGAAAGCCTTATGTATATGTTGGATACTACAGAAGAAACATGTATTCTTAACTTATATACGATAATTCGTATATTATAACTGGCTTTTGTTATATTATGAATATACTTAATTAAAATTAGGCATTCCGGAGGATCATTATTATTACCCTAACCTCTCTGACCAAAATTGTTATGCTCTAAAAAGAAGGAAATAGTTGTTACAATACTTGGAGTGTAACACTCCATAAAAGATTAGTGTCAATTTTTACTCGTTGACCAAGCAATATTCTCTTGAATCACTACAAGACTTGGATTTCATTACCTTAGAAGTTTTTCTCACTTCTCTTTGTTATTTTCCTGTATTTCAGGTCTTAGTAATGTCTGCCAAGGTTCTTACAGTCATCCCATTTGTATATTTTTTTTCTAATATGAGAATGTTATAGAAAATTGTAGGGGATACTGTGGTTGAGGGGCAGAACACTTCAGCCTACTGGCCTCAGACTGAAATTATTAAAGCGTAACTTGATTCCATTTACATATAAAGTTGAAGATATATATTCTCCTGTTTGCCAGTTACAATATTTGATGTGTGTGATGATACAACATGACACATCAGGTGTCGGAAGGTTTCAACAAGTAGCCTCATATTTCTTCACGATTTTGTCAGTCTTCTAGAACAGCCAAAGACTTGTCTTACTTGGTCCAGCAATTACCAAAACCATTGGAACTTTGCTCGATGTCTCTCTCATCCTACTGGATTGTATAAATTTTGTAAATACTTCGCCATATTTTTCAAAGTTTTGGTTGCTACGTGATACCAGTGCAGTCGTTCTTAGGTTTATTACGGTTACTTTACTACCAGTATCGTAGAGCGGTAGTAAAGTGTCTTTATCTAGACTCTCTCTCTCCATAGGATATTTAACTACTGTGATATATTATGTTTCTTAATTTTTTATTAATATGGAGTTTCCATGAATCTACGCATAGAATGTTTGGCCGTGTTAAGAATGACATCTTCGAAGTCAAGTAAGATTTGGGTTACCAAGGAGGTGCTGACAGAGGCTGGTGTCACATTTGGGTTCCCATGGAGGTGTTGACAGAGGCTGGTGTCACATTTGGGTTCCCATGGAGGTGTTGACAGAGGCTGGTGTCACATTTGTGTTACCACGGAGGTGTTGACAGAGGCTGGTGTCACATTTGGGTTCCCATGGAGGTGTTGACAGAGGTTGGTGTTACATTTGGGTTCCCATGGAGGTGTTGACAGAGGTTGGTGTCACATTTGGGTTCCCATGGAGGTGTTGACAGAGGTTGGTGTCACATTTGGGTTCCCATGGAGGTGTTGATAGAGGCTGGTGTCACATTTGGGTTCCCATGGAGGTGTTGACAGAGGTTGGTGTCACATTTGGGTTCCCAAGGAGGTGTTGACAGAGGTTGGTGTCACATTTTGGTTCCCATGGAGGTGTTGACAGAGGTTGGTGTCACATTTGGGTTAACACGGAGGTGTTGACAGAGGTTGGTGTCACATTTGGGTTCCCATGGAGGTGCTGACAGAGGCTGGTGTCACATTTGGGTTACCACGGAGGTGTTGACAGAGGTTGGTGTCACATTTTGGTTCCCATGGAGGTGTTGACAGAGGTTGGTGTCACATTTGGGTTACCACGGAGGTGTTGACAGAGGTTGGTGTCACATTTGGGTTCCCATGGAGGTGTTGACAGAGGTTGGTGTCACATTTGGGTTCCCATGGAGGTGTTGACAGAGGCTGGTGTCACATTTGGGTTCCCATGGAGGTGTTGACAGAGGTTGGTGTCACATTTGGGTTCCCATGCAGGTGTTGACAGAGGCTGGTGTCACATTTGGGTTCCCATGGAGGTGTTGGCAGAGGTTGGTGTCACATTTGGTTCCATGGAGGTGTTGACAAGTGTGTCACATTTTGGTTCCATGAGTTTGACAAGTTGGTGTCACATTTGTTACCACAGAGTGTTGGCAAGGCTGGTGTCACATTGAGTTACCACAGAGGTATTGGCGAGGTGGTGTCACATTGGGGCTGTCATTTTTTAGTGTTTCATAGCTAAGAAGTCCAGTCCACTTTGTCATCAGACTGTCTTCGGTCTACAGACTATACACACAAGTCTACATAACATGGCGAGTTGTGTAAGAAAGAGTGGGGTGTGTGTGTGTGTGTGTGTGTGTGTGTGGTGTACTTACCTTTGAGGATGCGGGTTCGATCGATCTCCTGTTGTGAGTGTGTGAGTGGGTGGGTGTTGTGTGTGTGTTAGTGTGTGTGTGTGGTGTGTTGGTTGTGTGTCATACCTTTAACAAAGCACAGGATGGAGTCTCTACATCCATCAATTTCATTTCAATCTTTTATTGCTATCACGTTAAAGTATTTGCTGACGTTTCTCATGGCTTTGTGTGTATACCTTCCATCTATCCCTGTGTATACCTTCCATCTACCCCTGTGTATACCTTCCATCTACCC